TTAAATAAAATGACAAAACAACACAATGTCTTAAATGCAATTGTGTTATATTCTATTTTCAGTCCTGTTCATTTATAAAAACAACTCGCAAGAAACCCACTCCTTTGAGTCCAGTTGTTCAAACAATTTAATCCAGATCAAAGTAATCCAGATTTTGAATCCCTTGTTTTGCTATCCAGGATTTGGTAATCCATTTCACTTTTATGCCAGTTTTTCAGCAACACTGGATTGGATCCCTGTTATCCAAATACAGAATTTTTCAGGATTACCAAATCCGGTTTACTAGTGCATTAAATGGAACCAAAGTTGTAGCCTACTGGCTATGTCAAGAACAACAGGTAGACTTAAAATACCAGTGGCCACAAATAGCCATTATGTGTTTTAATTTGAACAAACAGAAAACACCACAATAAACCAAAGCAACCTCCAATGTTCTCTCCAAATGAGGGACGGACTGGACATGAGGTCAGGGATGCAATTGTAAGACATTACTTGTGACTGATGAATTGAATAATAGTAATTATTGTCATTTTTATTAAAATACAATTGACAGTAGAGCTTTTTGTTTTGAGCTTTGAGATTTTGAGTACAGACATCTCACGGGGATTTGTTTTCCCTTGACTATACCGAAAGACTTCTCCTACTTTATTTTCACTGCCACTGTCCTGTTCAACAATTGTACAAAATATAAATAAATGTATATCATCAGCAAACATTGCTTTTGTGATCAATTTTCAAGTTTTATTTAATTTGTGCTAGAAATCCACTCTTGAATCCATCCTTGTGTTGGGATCAGGATTATCCTGATTTTTTGGATCAAATGTATCCCAATTCAAACACAAACTGCTGAACAACACAAAGTGAAGGTTTGATTCAGATTAAAAGCGAGGTTGGATTCCCTCTTTTCCCTTTGAACAACCCGTTTTCAAGATTCAATCCAATCCGTCATCTGAAATCCCATTGGATTACTTTTGAAAAACTGGGTAAAAACTAATATCTCAGCTAATGGGTTATGGCTGTAACAAGGAGGCGTTATTCGGCTACGGGAGTGAATAAAAAATAATAATTATTATAATCACTTATTATTATTACAGTATTAGTGGTAGTGAAAAAGGATGGGTCAATGGCGAGACCCGGATGTGAGTGGGCGTGTCTCTAAAGAAGCGTCTGTCCAATAAGAACTGCAGGAGGAGATTTAAACTTCAGACTTCATGCCGGGGTGTTGATGGCGTTTCCTATAATATAAGTGCGGTAAAATAACAGGGTTTCCCTCCTGGTTTTTCTTAAATCTGTCAGTCGATGGCACGTGTTAAGAGATTGTACACATTCACTGATTTTTAAGTCGAAATCGCTGTGATAGTGTTCGTAGTTATTGCGACGTTTTATTTCATCTTATTTTACGCTTCATTTATTTACAGCGAATTTACCAAACCCCGTGTGATTCTGACTCCAAAGCGCCGTTAACATGAATTCGTCAAAGCAGCCGGCAAAAAGCCGACGAAATGCGAAGAAAGCGAAGCGCGGCGATAAAAACGAGCCCCCGACCAAAGACCCCGCCGAGTGCTCGCAGATGAGCCCGTGGATTAAAGGGACCAATGCTTTCCCCACGGGGAGACAGCTGCCCCGCACCCCTCCAGCGTCCCAGAGGGACCGGGGCTTCCTCGCCCCGGCCCGGACCCCCGAAGAACCGACGGTCTGTCAGCAGCCTCGCCAGACTGAGGGGGGGAGCACGAACTTTCCAGCGTCCGGACATGGAATAGATCGGGTATGAGGTGTCGGTACCCGTCTGTCTAAAAGGCTCGACTTTATAATAAAATCAATACCGCACATGAAGACTGTTACAGAAGCTCCATAAGGGTATAAGGAGGTTTATTTGCCTCTTTTATAACCCACTCCTCTAGAATTCATGTACACCTGCCGCGGAAGGGGCGCAGGGTGGAGGCGAGCGGGGGCACAGAGTCCGAAGACACAGTACGATCACGGCCGCAGGTGAGCTGCGGGTACCACCGGGTGACGTCAGACACTCACACGGTCCCGAGTGCTGTCAGCCGGGATGCATCCATCGTGATTTCTCATGGATGATTCCGATTGCCGGTTTTTTTTTTCTTAAAATGGTCAAGCAAATTGGTCAATTACTGAACCGATTGCAGATTTTTTGCTTTTTTTTAAGCAATAGAAAAAAATAAGAAAAAAACTAAATGAACACGAATACATCTGAATACAATTTGTTTTTCTCTGTGACAGACTGAACAGGCCTTTAAACGGGGAAAAATGTCTAGCCATGTAAAATTGCATAAGCACAACAATAAAAATAAATGTTGCGTAATTGTAGCATCGGCAGTTGTTTTTGTTTTAAGTTATTACGTTAAGTATTGTATGATTTCAAGAAAATCAAAAAATGGTCTAGCCTTAGCCTTGTAAAATTGCATAAAATCAAAATAAACTACTTTAAAAATGTTACGTCAAGTCACGTTTAGTGCAATGAGTGAAGTGCCTACAGCAGTTTTTTTATTTAAAATTTTTAAAAATTAAATGTAATTTCAAGAAACCTTTGTCTCCACTATAGATGCATATGACCCATGTAAATATTCAGAACTGGTTAATTAACAGTTTTCTGAGGAGTACACTGGCAACTGAAAGGATGCTGGACTGGATATAAATGAGAAATTTCCATTGCTCTCTCCTTTATCCTTTTTTCATTATGCCCTCTCTCGTTGCAGTGCAGCTGGATGAGATGAACCCTGAATGCTTCATCAAGGGCATGCAGGGCTACCAGTGGACTGCAGAGGACCTGGAGTTTGTCGAGCGTGCTAAAAACGAGAGGCAGGTTCGACAGCTAAAGGTGAGATGTGAATGGCTGGGCTGAGAAATCGATAGCGTTGAAATACGGTATTTTTTTTGGAGTATCTCTTGTGCGTTTATGTGTGGATCAAGTGTCTCTATGATTTAGGCAGAGTTATGTGTGCTGCTGAAACAACTTAAGGACGAAGAGCAGAAGAAGGATCTTGCCCTGGCCATCAGAGACAAAGTGCAAGCAGACCAGGCCCAGGTAAGATTGTGAGCCAGGCCTTCACATCCAACATCAGTGTCTGACCTCACAAATACTCTTCTGGATGAATGTGCAAAAATTCCCACAGACTGTCCAAAATCTTATGGAAAGCCTCCCCAGAAGAGTGGCAGCTGTTATAGCTGCAAAGGGGGGGCCAACTCTACATTAATGCCTATGGATTTAGAATGGTATGTCATTAAAGTTCCTGTAGGTGTAATGGCCAGGTTTCTCGATACTTTTGTCCATGCAGTGTGTATAAAGTAATACTAATCGCCTTCAAAGCTCATCATGAACTTGCTCCTTCCTATCTACCCTTCTTCCCCACAGGCTCATACTTTAAGATTCTCAGTTTGCAGTTCTCTCTCGGTACCTAGGCTTAGGTCATCTTCACTGGGTGGCAAGGCATTTTAGTGTTGGTGCCTAAACACTGGAATGCACTGCCACAGTGTTTGATGTTCAACCTACTTCAACTTTTAAGCTTTGGTTAAAAATGTTTCTTTTTCAGGAATGTTATAATGCATCATCCAGTTTGTAAGGTTGACTTGGAATTGGGCTGCCCTGCTTCCAGTACACACATGCATTGTAAAGCATCCTTGTGTTTGAGAGAGGCTCCATATAGTTACATTTTATCATAATTATTACTACATTACTACAGAAAAGTTTGTAGCATCTTTTGTGCAGCCATGTTTGGTTTTTCAGATGGCTGACTTTGATCAGATCCTGCAGATGGGTAGAGACTTCCTCTGTAGGAAGCTGCCAGTGGCTGAAGTTGAGCGCATGGACTATGAATCTGTCCTGGAGCATATTAGAGTTGCAGACGTTCAGTCTGCCACGCGTGAGGAGCGATCAAAGCTAATGGAGTTGGAGGAGGAGCTGTCCAGACTGCAGCAGCTCTGCAGGTAGGCCGGTACAGTCCTGGTGCAGGGTTCCCCTCTCAGAGGACGTGGGAGTAGTGTTGGGCGTGCAGATCGATGCTGCTGTAGGCTTCCTGAACTTTCTAGTAAACAAACATGGAGATGCTCTCTCATGAATGATGCAATTGAGGCTTCGTCTTGTGATTTTGTTCCAAGGAATAACTTGCTTGGTGCACTAGAACATTTAATGTTTCCGTACATTTCTTAGCAATGAAGAACAACACCGTAAGGAGATGGAAAGTCTAACGGACAAGATCAGTCAGAAACAGGTATAAAATCACATCACTGCTTGTCTTCATTTGTAATCATGCTGAATTCACTCACGAAATGTTAATTTCCTTCAAACTACTAGGCAAAAGTGGAGGATTTGAAGAGGGAGGTATCTGATCTTAAGTTGAAGATTTCACAAGCAGAGGTGAATTTCATGTCATTTCTACCTGTGACCACCCTGGGATGGGTTGGTAAACATTGGGTTCAGTTTGTTGCAGGAATTGAGGTCTGTATTTATGGTCCTAGGGGACGTTGAGAGAGACCAAGACTCAGGTGGCAGCACTAAAGGTTAAAAAAAAGCCACAGAAGGAAGAAGAGGTGGACATGACCAAAGTCCTCAGACGCTCCAAGAGGATTGCAGTAAGGAAGGAGAAATTTCTGGAACGAGAGGCCATTTTGAAGAAAATACATGCTCTCAAGTAGCTCATAGGATCATGTTTGTCCATGTAATTAATAAAAATAAAGGATTTTTTATTCAACCAGTTTTGATGTTTCTTTTGAAGAGTAAGACAAACCTATGATGATAGTGTTAGATCGTTAGGAATAACTGCAGGAATCTTGTACTGCTTTCAAAGAGCCTGCACTACCAGGTTACCACACAAGATGGCAGTATTACTGTAAGTATAGCAGTTCATATTGTTTAATGCATTTTTATTGATGTATAATTTTATTTTTCAAATGTGGTTGCGATGTTTCCGATTAATGGTTTTCCCTCTTTATGCATATAGCATGTAAGACAGGAAGAAAATATCCAGTCCATGCAGAAATGACAGGATGTGACACTGATTTTATTAAGGTATACAATAAATTTTTAAAATTCTCTCTATACAATCTAGCAACAGACGGAAGCACATGGAGGTACAGCAGGGATACATTCAATGGATTCAACCAGGGTAAACTTCTCTACAGCCACAGTAGTGAGGGCTCTGCACATCGCTATCTAACACACACAGGAATTTTAATTTGCTTATTTTCACAGGGACTCTCCACTAGCTTTCTGCGTACCGTATGAATACACCTATCCGTCACCAATACAAATCAGTGCAGAGTCACCCTGCTCAATGCAGGGGAAGGGGACTCCTGGAAATGCCCCCTTATCAATGCGAAATGACTGCATCGTCCCTTTTTGCTGTGATGGTCACTTGGAAACGCTGACAGCCTGACGGTGTATGTGGTCGTTTTATTTCCGGGTGGGAATAAAGCCAGAGGAAAATCATCAAGATGTTCATGCCTCAGTGTAGATCTGTTAGTGAAATGTTGATACTTTAAGAATCAGACACCAGTCTAAGAATATAAAAAAAATATTTTAAAATAATTATGTACCAGTGAACTCTGGTGCTGAAACATCTACTCAGTCAGGCCATTTTTAACTGCTGTTCAGTTTTCCTTAAACACCTCAGAACAGTGACTAACTGTCAGCTGGTCACTGACTAACCTCTGCTAGAAAGGTTTGGTTCGACCGGCTGAATACAATAGCGTAAAAATGGATAAATCGCATCTTTCTCAGCAGGAAACGTATGTCGAGGGCTTCTGGATAAGCACTGGAAACAGCTGGAGGCTGTCGCATCTCCTTAGAGTGTACAGTACGTTTTTTGAAACTCAAACAGCAGCTCACACTTCAGTCGAGTCGAGGTGTAGTCTTTCCTAGAACCCTTTTAATCCAACGCAATGCCCCCCCCCCCCACCTTTCACAAAGAACAACCTTCGACCAATCAGATGTAAAATGGGGGTGTGACAACTAGCCTGAAGGTAACTAGTCACGGTTCTCTTGGCAAATGGGCGTTTGAGTTTCTATGTGCCATTGAAAGGAAAGCTGCCGACGTTAAAATAAAAATTAGCCTGCAGCTGGACTGAACTGCCTGCCTTCAGGGCTGGGATCCTCCCAAGCCTTGCAACAAATTTCAATTAACACCTACTTTACGGCTGAAACGCCGGGTGACTCACGGTTAGACTTCAGCGATACACTGGGGAGTGGAGCTGGGGAGAATCGGCTCACTCCGCGGCCACCGAGGCACGGAACAGCCCAACCCCCCTCTGAAGTATCAAAGCTTTCAATCGAACGCAGACCAAGAAAGAAGGGGGAGGGGGTTTAAGGACCTCACAGTTTGATATTACAGAAGATTAAGACGAGAGTGAGCCTTTTCTGGGCTAAAACAGTGGTGAGCTTTCACGACAAACATTCATTTCCATTAAATCAGTGAAAGGACTGTAGCGACTATCGACCTTAAGAGACAAACTGTGCACAAACAGGTGAACAATTACCACAACTAACATCTCAAGGAGACCGAATGCGGCCCAGAGGACTTGAATTCGGAGCTAATGTCCCGGTTTTTTTCACGCCTCCAGGGGAGTTTCAACCAGGCGTGCAGAAAAGGGTGATGAAACAGTAGGCTGAGGCCACCCAGATCTCAGCTGTCTTCACGGGCCTTCTGGGCACCATTCTGAGGGACTTGGTAGACCAAGTCCTCTGTGGACTGGGTCTGCCCGGGCGTGGTCTTGGGCGTGTCGTACTGAGCGCACGATCCTGATTGGCCGCTGTCTGTCCTCGTGAGGAGGGACCCGGGGCCACACCTTTTGAATGTGGAGACGGACACCTGTCCCAGCGGGCCGGAGGGTGCCGGGTGGCCTGCGATGTCCACGACGATGGGGGTGGCGTACTCCGCCCCTGAAGCAGGGAGCGGTTGGGCGTACGCGTGGTATATTTCCGTAAGCGGGGCGTCGTACGGGTCCGGGTCCGCATAAGCCGGGTCGTCTCCTTCTTCGGGTTTAAAGGTGGACCTCTGACCAAGGGTGCCAACCATTCCTCCCACTAGGGGCTGGGCATACTCTACCAGGGGAAGGGGAGCAGGACAGTCACCCAAATGCATATCGTGGTGCAGACTTCAGTCTGCCACCCAACACAGACCGGCGTGGAGAACCGACTCATTGACGGACTTTGGCTTCTTTCTTTCTCTCTATCTTTCTCCCTCCCTCTTCCCTTTTTCTGTGTTATTCTGTAATGATGCTGTTGCATCACAGCACACCCTTGTAAAGCGCCTTGGGGTGACCCTCTTGTGAAAGGCGCTATATAAAAATGAAAGCGCGCGAGTTGCAGGTGGTGGGCGGAGCGCCTACCTGCCGATTCGGCCTGCACCATCGGGACGGCCTTGCGACTCCGAGCGGGATTCGCGTCACTGTGGCTGTATCGCACGAAGGGATCCTCCCCCTCAGTCACCTTCGCTGGAAAGAACTGCTTCATACCTTTCCACAGGCCTGGAACAGCAGCAATTACGTGCAACAATTTTACTCGTTATACATGATGAAATTCTTCTATTTGTATTAAAGAAATGCACAGAAATTCATAAAATGCAATGGAACAATGGGAGAGTTAGTCTGGTTGTGGCCAAAGAGGCTTAGATCTAAATTGCGCCATCTGATTAGTCTGGGTTCTGGTGGGCGTGGGTGGTTTTGAAAAGTCAGCTTACCAGCTCGGTCCCAGTGTGCCAGGCCATAGGCCCCCTTGGCACTCTTCTTCCTGGAGGGGAGAGGGAACGGTGCAGGTTACCCAGGCTGTCCTACCCAGCTGACGGCTAAAGGCAGCACCTACGCTCGGGCTCACCGGGTCCTGCAGTGCCAGGTACACAGCAGGGTCAGCAGGACGCAGGTCAGGCCCGTTACCAAGGCTGGCACCAGCACCGCCGCCAGCGCCACACCTGGGAATCAGGAGCCTTGTCAACATCTAAAACCGGGGGGGCTACAGTCCTTCCAGCTACACATGCAGCACCAAGTGGGCTGGTTTATGCTCCAAATGATCCTTAGTATAGCAAAAACTGAGGAAGAATGAAAGCAGACATACATACTGGTTCTGCGTGCACCGAAACCCTGTACTAAATGGTGGTCAGACATTTAGCAGCACGACAGGCGTCGTTCTGCTAACTAAGCACAAGAGGGCGCCCTCACTGTTATTGCCACTGGGGGTCATGGTGGTGTTGCGGATGTCGGAGGTGAAGGTGGTCTTGTCCCGCTGTAGCGGAGGGTCCGTGCTGAGCTTGGTGGGCCGTGGCTGGAAGGTGCGCGGCAGCACTGTGAAGAGGGCAGCCGCGGTAAAGTCCAATTTACCCCCAGGTCATTTATCGACAACGACAGCCTGTTTCAGCCCATGTTGCTTTAGCTGTAGTAACATAATGTTACCTCACAAATGAAAACTATTTTTTTACATTAAATAAATATTACGTTTTGACGTGGAGCTGCAGAACAAACCAGGGGGGTGTTCCACAAAGCTGGGTGAAGTAGCTAGAAGTCATGATTGTCCAATAGGAATGCTCCTTACTTAAACACCTATTGGACAATCATGAGTTCCAGCTTAACTTATCCCAGCTGAAAAATCCTGCTTCATGGAACACCTCCAGCATGTCTTCATTAGCCAGATAAATTTACACCAAATGTAACAACTGTCCAATAGGAATGCCACTTACCTTTCATCCTATTCGACAGTTTTCACTTTAAGCTTAAGTTATCCAGCTAACTGGGAAATCTGGCTTTGTGGAATACCCAAAGGTTGCGAACGCAGGGAACTCACATGTCGGAGGCTGGCAGCCCAGTAGCTCCATCTTCAGGGCGATGCGCTGGTGCCACTGGGTGGGACTGACTCGCACATAGCGTGCCTCCACGGGGGGGATGAAGTTGTTACGCACTTCGTGAAGGTAATTGATGTTTCCCTGGAAGATCTGCATGTAACAAAACAACAAACCTGTAATTTACATCATGCTAAGAAAACAAACTCACATCTAGAAATACGGGCAATTAATGGAAACCTCTGAAAGCAGATATAAATCAATACAAATTGTTAAAATACAAAACCAGGAACATCGCCAGTGTTCTCCCTGTGTTAAACCGGTCACCGATTTAACCATAATTTTTCACATTATTTTTCTACATCAAAATGAACTTTACTGTAATACAGGTTGCCTGTACCCAGACTCGATTTTAGAGGGAGAAAAAAAAATCCATAATTTAAGAGGCGTGAAAGCTGTGTGTAGCCACGTGAAAGAAAAGTGAGAGACCATTTCCCTGGCAAGGCAGCCAAGCCGGCGATGACACACAGCCGCGCTGCTGACGAATCCCAGCTCCCCGGAACCTCTGACCTCATGCGCCCGTGTCGGATTTACGCTCAGCATTCCGCACAACGCGGACGGAACATTCCGTCGCCACGGCAGCACCTAAACAGGCCAGGCCAGCACAGCGCGGCTGGGGTATTCTTACGTAAGTGAGCTGAAGCTTTCCAGCTACGGTTTTGTTTGCTCCAAATCTGCTCTTAGGAAATCAGTTCCGGACAGATTTGGGCTGTAAGGTGGATGGGAAACAATTCCCATTAAATCCTTTACATCGTGCTGTTACCCCACAGCTGTTACACATGTAGATATGAGGATATTCCAGGCACATCAACCCTAACAATATCAGGCTGGCCGACTGTATCGCATGTATTCTCTCAAATTTTTTTTTTACATTTATTGATACCCATTGGCTACCAGGTCAGGTGACGGCTCACAATCGCTCAGCCCTCAGGGTCGCTACAGAAACACGCTCTCAGAGATGCGCAAGATACACAGCAGAAGCTACACCTTTCAGTTCTCTGAGAATAACTAAAAACCACACAAACACTATTAAAACACAGAGGGATGTGACCACTGGCAGGTCTACAGTGATACAGTAACATACATGTCAAATCTTGAGTATGAATTTAACCAAATTTGAAGCCAGCAGCAGTTCGAGAATTTGACTCATAGGTCATCATAATAAAATAGTGGTACAGGGGCCTTGACGATGAAAAATCGTGGGACAAATCACAAAATGGACATAGAAAAATAATTTTTTATGAAGGCTGAGACAAAACACAAGCCCCCTAATTACGGTGTAGCATTGCCTACAGTCGGAGTCTGATATTAACGATTTTCATGATGCATTAAACGTTAATTTTTAAATATTTTACTGGATCATATAATGTTGAATTCATCATTTAGGCAAACAGGGCACCGCTTATTGTCTGAGAAACAGCCAATGTCCACGGTCACACTTCCGGAAAACCGACTCTAAAGCCGCTGACCGCCCCGCGAGATTGAACCGGGCGCAGGGGCCCTCAGTCAGGAGCACAGAGACGTCCCCGTTACCTTATCCTGGTCAGTGTCAGCCTCTCTGAAGACATACCACAGCTGGCCATCCTGGCTGTATAGCACCCGATAGGCCGAGACGAAGAACTGGTACTCCATGAGCGTGGAGCCGGTGGTGATGATTCCTGGAGGGGGTTTGTATTTACGGAGAGACAGGCACTGTGTCAAATACAGCATATTGACAGAACACCTACCACCACCTACAAGTGCTCCTAGTCGGAAATTTTAACTGGAACGCCCCCTGAAGTCGGAATTCCGACTCCGATAATCAGAGGAATCTCTGCAACCCCAACCTCAGAATTCAAGATGACTTCGCCCTTAATCAACAGAAGTGAAAGATGTAGTTATATACTGTACATTAGCACTTATGTTTTATATGTGGCTCATTAAATTGGCCGTATGCACAGTACTGTGCTACTGTTGTCTATGGACGTGTTGTTGCAGTGTTTGTATGCACAAAACACGTAATGCATCGTTATCAATTGATATTGCTAACAATAGCTAACGAACTTGGCTGGAACTGGGGCCTGTTTCAGAAGGCAGGATTTCTTGCTTAGCCAGATAACTTGTCTGATTTAAGGTAGTCTGGCTTAAATGTCAATGAAGGAAGATAAAGGCCACTGAAACTGGGGTACCTTAAATGTGACAAGTTGTCCAGCCAAGCAAGAAATCCCACCTTTTGACGCAGGTCCCTGTTATTCCTAAATGGCTTGCTGCACATGAATACGGTTAACTCGGGTGTGACGTCATTCCGAGCCTCCTCTGCACCCACCCCAGAACACTGCTCTTCCTTCTTCTCACCTGTGATTCTCTTCCTCTTCTTCAGGTCCACCTGGAGCCACTGATGCTGGTCGCTGTGAGCGGCGGCCCAGGGGAGGCCTGGGCGCTTCAGTCGGGCCCCAGAGGGCTGCCACACGCTGGGCTGCCCGTTCTCGTCGCTCCACTCCCACACGGACGAGCCGGTGATCTGGGAGCTGCGGACTACTCCCGACTCCAGACCCAGGGTGCCATAGCAACCTGCAAGCGACAATGACGATGGTGGAGAGAGCTCTGGAGAATGCTACAGTCAGGGGTACTTTGTTGGCAAAAACAACGATGAATGTCTGCACACAAAGCCACTGCAGACAGGCAAGGAGACGCCTGTGTGTTTACACAAATCAATCTGCCTGATGCTTTTATCCAAACCAACAAACAGGGCAGTACACAGGCACCTCAGTAAAAGTGAGGCTAGCAGCAGAAGCACATTAGCAATAAAAGCTTTTTTGATCACCCTCTTGGGCTGACATATCTCAGAAAAACAAACATCACAGATTTTTTTTTTTTTTTCCTGATCATGCTGCAGGTGACCCAGAGTCATCTTCCCAAACATTTCAGAGTGTGGATCATAAATGGATTTTTGTCCAAACTCACCACTGGTTTTGAAGGTGAAGAGGCTGTTGGACAAAGGACCACTGTGGAAGTAAAGTCAAGTTAAAAACACAGAAACCCGCAGCTGGACAGAAAGAGGTCCGGCATGGATAACGATGATGTATACAATCAATTAAATCAATGCAAGTTCACATAAATAAACAATAGCAACACCTCACACCTATTACTCAGGCACCAAGCTTGCTGTGGGTTTGCAGAAACCATATCAGAACAGCCGTGAACACTCAGGCTTAGTGTGAACACTGTGTTCCTATGCACAGATGGCAGAGCAAGACCTACTGATAGGCAATGATCAGGTTGAAGCTTGCTGGAACATCTTGTACCCCCACGTTCATCCATCACCCTTTCACCCACCGCAGCTAATTTAAGGGTAAAGGCCAGTCTCTTAAGGCCAGGCAGCGTACCAGATACAGCTGGTGACCCTTCTGGCAGGTACCTCACAGCTAAGTAGCAGGAATTACCTGCACACCTTAATGTTACACCGGCGGAGAACATGTGCAATTACATAGGGTCAAAATACATTAATGTATGAGCTTTGAAAATCTGGAATGCAAGATGACACAATCTATTAATTTTGTACCTTGACTAAAATCTTTGGCAGCAATTTTTGAGTTACCTTATAGCAAAGAAAAACCATAAATAAAAAATATGTATTATACTAGTAATACGTACTAAAGGACACGTCAAATAAATGAAAATTTACTTAGTCATATGTCGCTTCTTTGCATTAGCAATTACGTTCTCTACGCATCTCGAATGTTTTTTGCGTAGGTCGAGATTTACTTAAGTCAGTTTCATGCAAGTCAACAGCTGCCTGCATGCAATTTTAATATTGATATACGATGTACACAAAGGTGCCGATCTTCCGTCTGCTGAGGTTCTTTTCATGATCATACGACCATAACACTCTCCATGTTAATAGGAGGAGAAGGTTAACTCACAAGGTAGAAGTGACATTGTTGGCCAGAGTGCTCTCATAGTGTGGGATGCCCTTGCTGCTGACGACGCTGATCTGACCTCCCAGAGCGTTGGACACCACCCCCGCGTGGATACCGGCCAAGCACACTGACGAGGACTGGGGGGGGCAGACATGAACAAGGCAGGATGAGTGTTTGCGGGTACAACAGAGTATTGAGACACCTTTACATTCACAGGAATTCCAGGATATGCTTGCCAAGACATGTTGGATGAGTTTGGTGTGCTTTGCACTGGCCCGCACTGAGCCCTGACCTCAACCCCATCGAACATCTTTGGGATGAACTGGAATGCAGACTGCGGCACCCAGCCTTCACGTCCAACATCGGTGCGAGACCTAACAAAAATGCTCTTCTGGATGAATGGGTAAAAACTGCCACAGAAATACTCCAAAATCTTGTGCAATGTCTTCCCAGAAGAGTGGCAGCTGTTTTAGCTGCAACAGGGGGCAACTACATATCGCTGCCTATGGGTTTAGAATGGGACATCATGAGAGTTCCTGTAGGTGTAATGACCAGGTGTCCCAATGCTTTAGCCCATATAGTGTATCTGAACATAGTTTGTTTCTGATCAAGGTTGTTCACTTAACATACTGGTTACAATCTTTCTCCATTGTGACAATATCCCACAAGAATTTGTGGAATGACAGCGTGTAGGTCACCGGCCGCTGACGCTGCATTATCACGTCATGATTCGCTTTGAAGCTTTCTTGGTTTTTAGCCACGTCGCGTCAACAGCGATCACCACACACCAAACATCAGGGTGACGTCACGGCAGCGCTAGCTAGTCACACCGCAGCGGCAAGCGGACGAATGTGACATCCTCAGCTTTACTGGAAGAACCCCCCCCCGCTGCCACATCACGCCCACTCTGCGTCTTTTACTGGACTCTGACAGACGGAACGACTGTGGTTAACACCACGAAACCCAGGCTGACCGCATGATGCCGGAACAGTACCAAAAGCCACGAAGGCCGCGGGGTTCTTTCAGCGCTCAGGAATCCCACAGCCGCTCACCACTTCCTGCGGGACCCCCCTCCCCTGGTCAAACAGGCCCTCTGCTCCGGGGGCACATTCCGTCTATGGCGCAAACCCTGATGGTTGTTAACAGGACTCTGCTGAGCCAGAGAGGGAAGATGTGGGTTGTAAAAAGAAAAACCAAACTGAGACTGAGAGGTGGAGGCCAAGCCGGGCTGCCGAGAGTGGCTGAGGAAGTGCGGGGGGGAGGGGTGGGGGGGTCACGAAGAGGCAGCATACAGCTATGGAGTTTCAGTTCTTGTATGTTTCAACACTTTTCACACATACCACAATCACCTCTAGAGCCTCCACTTTCCTCAGCACACCTAACCCTAATTCATATTTCATCCCCAGCTGCCCCCCCCCCCCACACCACACACACACACACACACACACACCCAAGGTGTGGCTGTGTGTTTTCCAGGAGGCCAAAAGGTCAACACACTACTCGAAGCCATGCAAGACGTACGTCCCGAAATCACAGTGGGCTGACCCTCCTCTTCCCATAGGAGATGGGGTGTGTGTGTGTGTGTGTGCGTTTCACACCCTTGGTCTCAGCAAACACGTCTGTCCAGCTAGCACCAGCTTCACAAAAGCACTGGCCAGTCCCCTTTAACTCTGCAGCCCAACAGTTACCTCACCCAATCCCACGGAGACCTGGGAGTGGCTGGCGCTGAGACTCGCGACCTGAGTGGGCAGTGGCTATGCATGAGGTCATCAGCGAAGGAACGGACCAGCCAATGACTTCATCCAGTACAGAGGAGGAGGAGTTTAATGAAAGTAAAGCACAGAAGTTTGACGGCAAGTAAACCAAGAGCGTTTTCAGATGAATAAGGGTGGCGTGAGTGCTGTGAAAGTCTAGACCGACTGTCTCTATTCTGGATAGAAGAGGAACAGACCCAGTAACACTATTCTGCATAACCAGCATTTTGTACAGTCACAAACTAGACAGCTTCAATCGTGTTGTATCATGTGACCTGCCATTATTGTTGAAACAGCCACAGCCCACTTGGGCTCTCCCCGTGTTTGCTTGGGTTTCTACAGGGGGCTCCGGCTTCCTCCCACAGTCCAAAAGTGTGCAGGGTGGGCTGATTGGTGACTCCAAGTTGGCCCCACACTTGTGTGTGTGTGTGTGTGCGTGTGAGTGTGAGTGTGTATGTGAGTGTGAGTGTGTGTGCACCCTGCACTCAGGGTTGGTTCCTGCCTGTGCCTGTTGTTCCTGGGATAGGCTCCGGTCCCCCCCTGCGCCCCTGGTTGGGATTAAGCGGTTACGGTGATGGGTGGACGGACTATATAAATCAGGTAAGTATTCTCGTACTGAACTGAGAACACTTTAACATTGTATACATGTATTAAAGATCAAGTTTTCATGCTCAGATTTTTAGCTTGTTACCCAAATCCAGCCCAAACATCCTATTATGATTATCCAGTGACACCTGAATGACTGTAATGCACCCACAGGGCTCGTCATTAAGTCTTAATATGGATCCTGTGTCAGTTTGTACCATTTACAGCTTGCGAAAGTTTCAGACTGTCGTTACTGCACCGACAGCCTCATGGCTGAGGTGGAAGGTTAAACTGCTTCAAGGAGCGTAACAAATGGAGTGATTTAAGCACGCAGGGAGGCCGAGAACCTGAACAGACGACCATCCATGGGGTACAGCAATCGAGAAGCATGGGCAGCAGCCATTAAGAGAGATGGCAGGCCAGCTCAGTGCTGCTAAGCCAGCTGTTAGCAACAGAGGGTATCCAGAGCACTGCAGAGTATCCAGAGCACTGCAGAGTATCCAGAGCACTGCAGAGTATCCAGAGCACTGCAGGAACCTGGTTTCTCTCCCGACACACGGTGGGATAGAGGTAAAGTTTAGGTAGGCGGGGGCAGGGGCTGCTTAGGCAATGTGGTCGACATTCCGATGTGGTTTGGGGGAGATTATGGGGTACCATCTCCTGCTGGGCTCGGGGATGGGGGGCGTGCAGTAATGAGGGCGGAAACACAGCACTGAACACGGTGCATAGCAGTTTGAGTCACTGGCCAGCTGCGAGCCAAACGGGCCATTCTTCCCGGTGAAGAGAACCACACACTCACGTCTCTGTAGCCGTGTGGAATCGTGCCGGAAACTTCCCCGGAGATCGTCAGGCAACCCGCAGGGCAGTATTTGCTGTAAAAAAATGGTATTTAACATGGAGACATTCAGATATTCATGGACATTTGACCGCAAAAGGCAGACCTTTGCGTTTTGGGTAGTAACCAGACCGGCGTAAAAGAGTTTTACCTGAATTCTGCTTCCGTAAAGTGAATTCCTTTGTCGAGGCAGGTGATCAGATCTGGTTAGGAAAAACGAGAGATGAGTGTTTACAAAATTATGAAACATAATACTGTGGATATGCATGACATATCCACAACAGAAAATGTTTAGAGTGCTGTTAGCTCAGGTCTTTTACTGGATATACAGAGGTCTTCCTGACAGCTTCCTCAAAGCGCTTAAAAGTTTAATGACAGCATCAGAAGCGATCTTGAGAAGGACAGGCCGTGCCAACAGCCTTTTGTATCAATGCGTGGTTGTTGACATTCCCCTCCATAGAACAGGCTGCATACTGTCCCCCGCAAGCTGTGGAATTTTGGAGCTGGCAGAAGGGGGGGGGGGGGGGTGTTGGACGGAAGATCCAAGGTCTCCACTGGAAACACTGCATCCAAGTGTCAGAAGAGATAGCAAAGTTCAGCCGGCAGTCTGATCTGGCCCCTTGACCGCTGCCGATTAGGGCAAAAGAATTCCGTGTCTGATGGCAATGCGGCCTGTCGTTTGAAGCCCCCACAGCCGGCTGCCTCACTGGTTAGTCACCGCTACCACGTTAAAACGGGCGTCTGGGAATCGGGTGAGCTGCCACGCAAACCGCAGCCCCCTCATCCTGCGGAGGGGCGTCCTGCAATGACTGCTCAGACTGACCTAACCAATGCATGACCCATAGCAATCAAAATTCTTTGGGAGATTAAGCTTTTCTCTGAGCGTTAAAGTGTTTCTTTCATGTTCAATTTTCACCAATAGGCTTCACAGATACTTCCATAGAACCTTCCACACTCATATTGACAGCAAGAGTAGATTTTGTGAAAAGGTGTGTTTCGTCTAAGTTACGATACAAAAGGAAGTTACAAGGCTAATATTGCCGTCATGGTACACGGATGCATCATGTACCATTCAGAACATCAGTTTCAGTTTGGTGCACACAATGAAACGGATACAATTATTCACACGGGCGGAACCAAAATACACAAATAGAAGGTTCAACGCAGAGAACATTATGCTAATAGTGGCTGCGAGTTGGTTACTCGCTAATGCCGGTTAGAGTCAATCATCGGTGATTTGGGAACAATTTGGTTTCCCAATAAAGCACACCAACCGCGGAGCGATGATAAGACCAAGACTGTCTGTCGGCTCTGTTATTCCCAACTCAGATACGTGACTGTAAATGCATCCCACATGCTAACTCATTTGATATGACATCATCCAATTACATCCATGGCTGCAGCGAGGCAGATAACGGATCTGCAAGCGAATCTCCCCGTGGGATTTAAAATGCTTTTCAGACCAGGCTAAAAAACTAACTATGGCTATTTATTGGTAAAGATACCCAGCCATGCTCACATGGTATTTAAACAGGACTTTGTTCATTATGACTACTATGATCATATATTTTAGTTTTTTTAATATATGCTAAATATTTATTCTACGATGTGCAAATAAGCACATCTCTTTCATTTTGTTCAGACACATCGACAGATGCATTACATTTACTTTACAACTGTTCCTAATTGTTTGTGTGCACTTTAAATAATTTCAAAACAAATGCTGTTTTCCCTGCTCTATCGAAATTGCACGAAACCGTGAACCTAAAATTAAAATTTGTACAGAGCCATGAATTTTGTCTATTTTGTCACACCCTTAGAAGTTAAACATATTTCAAAACAAAACCCAGTTGAGACTCTAGGTCTGATCATAAGACCCAAGAATGAAAAATATTACAGGCACATGCAGTAATCATGACGCGAAGGCCATATTGATTATTCCCTAAAAACGTAACTCTGATTAGGGTTTTGGAATCGATGCAGTCATAACAAACACTTTGACTGAATTCCCGATTCAAATCAGTTTATTGTTACACCCCTCACAATGAGCTCTTCCAAAACAACGTGAGCTAATACAGCTGATTGCCGAGTGGGTTCCTCTGCAGACCAGAGCATTTGAGCCGGTTACTCCGTTGCGCAAAAACAAACAAATCAAGGATGAAATCACATTTGAACCAACAAGCGATTGACATTATAGGGGTAACTTCCCCTATTTACCAGTCCCATGAACCAATTCACGTTTGAGGAAACAAGAGCAGAACAGCCTCTATTAAGGGCTACCAACATTGTCAGAACAATAATTTAAAACGTCAACTGCAAACTATGCCTTGAAAACACAAATGACTGATTTAAAAACTCCACTGTAGAAAATGCCAGAACAGAATGTGGGGGCTGAAGGCTATAATGACATCACTAAATCCCTTTAGTCATGAATGCAAAAGACGCAAACATTTACGTGCCAGGATAAAGTTTACCTGCAAGACTCCCATAATCTTACTTGGTGATTCATCCCATTTCTTTGTGCAGCAGTTAAATAGCTAATCCAGTCTCTTAGCAACGGTCCACCATTATTTCAGGCAAAACCCTGTAACATGAGAGCTCGTGTTACAAATACGGGGCAGGAGCTTTGGATCTGAGGAGGAAGCACCAGCAGCAGCACCACTGGTCACTCCTTCAAAAGCGGCATGGCCAGAGCCCTTTTTGTCCTGGGTTACTGTCCATCATCCCTGACCAGCACATCCATCCACGGCATGATGAAAATCCTCAATGCACCTACTTTGTTTGCTTTTATTTAGAGGAACTCTAGCGGAACGTAGCACAGCGAGCCATGCAGACACACTTTGGCTGCGGTCTCTGTCCCTTCGGTCACACATCACTTCCAGTGGAAGGTTCAGCACCACGATGGGGCCCATGACATGCAGAAGAATGGAATTACACAATAGGAAAGGAGACCCATTCCTGCTGATCGCCAGCAAACACAGGCACAAAAAAAACCCAAACTGGGCTTACAGGTCAGTCTCCTTTACCAGTTTTGCCCACACTGGCCGACAATCGCACTTAACTGAACACAGAAGTGATTATATAAAGCAAAGTAGAAGCACCAGCATTTTCTAGCAGCTGGACCAGACACTGATTGTTCTATCTGTACTGAGTACTGAAGGTCAATCCCAATTATTACGTAAACAGTGGTCTTAACATCCAGTGCCAAATGCATAGCACTAAGTCTAACCTCCACAGGTACTGGATTGTGTTGATTTATTATTTTACAACCAGCATATTTAACACAATGCCCACCAGTCTAATATGAGACCACAGCAAAAAGCCTCAATGCTCATTACAAGTGAACTTGAAGCCTTGGGCCCCAACATCTGGTGCCTTAACCAATGCACCCGCCCTCCCCTCGGGGCACCCAATAGGAGCTCTCCCCTCTGACAAACGGGGGGCTGGATCCAATTAGCTGGGGCGTCTGTTTACACATTGCGTTTAGGAGCTGCGCGTGGTCGTTAAACTTGCCCCTGCACAGCGGTGGATAACCGGCTGCCAGCATAACACACCCCCGGGAGAAATACCCCTGGGGGCAATTATCTGGATGGCAGCTCTCTGGTTTACCACTGAAGGGTAAAAAACCTGAACTTCACGAACTGTGACAAAATTCACAACCCAAGACAAACAATATGGCAAAAAAGTGTCCTTCAAAACAGACTCAGTTACATCATCGGGAAAGTCTTAATAAACACTTTCCTCCGCCCCCCCACCCCTGAGCAGTTGTCAGGCCAAGCGAGGGGGAGTCGTCGTCTTTGGGACCATGCTTTGTGAGATGACATCACCATCCAAGGCGTTCCTGCTAGCAGGACGCAATCCAAGCTTCACAGCCTCGGCTGCAATGTGGGAACTGCAGCTACTTGTTTGCCTTCACTGAGATAAAACTCTTGCCCCATAAGGCTTTGCTCCATATGTCTAGAAATTTACAAAATCAAACCACTACAATATGCCTGTGCATTTCAAAGATTATTACTACTTAAACAGCTTGTCAGTTCATAACTATTCGTTCATGATCTCTTAGATCGGGGGCAACAATTTCTCATGTTCTCATTGAGAAGGCCCCTCCCTGACAGTGGGGCCGACCCCTGACCTCTGACCAGCATTGATCATTTAGGGCAGTGTTCCCCAACCCGCTCCTCGGCAACCCACAGTCGGTCCATGTTTTTGCTCTCTCCCAGCTCCCATGGACTGGACTGGGAAACACTGATTTAGGGGATAACACCTGCCTGCCTGCCTGAGTGCCCCCCCCCCCCGATCAGCAATAAAGTAAATGGAGCTCTTCCTAAGACGACATCCTGCAACTCCGGAAGCTTCCCTGCTCGTCCAGAACCGCTTTCATTTCAGGGCCCGGCAGAATTCCTCCACCCCCGTAATCGAACAGCAGGGGGGAGGGCTGGGGGAGGGGGAAGCTGCTTCAGAGCTGCTTGTCACCTGATAAGGTGGCTTCAGAAACAAAATCCCCACCCCCACTGACAGCTCAGATAAACAGGATCCACGGGGATGGGTTGGGGGCGGGGGGGGGGGGGGGGGGG